AAAATTCCCTAAATAATCTGTCTCTCTGGGCAAGAAATTTAGGGATCGAGTTTTCACCGCAAAAAACTGAATTGGTAGTGTTTACAAGGAAGCGGTTTCCAGCCCAACTGCGTCTAAATATTTTGGGCAGAGACATTACCCAATCTTTAACCTTCAAATACCTTGGAGTCTGGTTTGATTCAAAATGCACTTGGGGTACCCACATTACGTATTTGAAACAAAAGTGTCAACAAAGGATTAACTATCTACGATCAATTTCCGGGACATGGTGGGGTGCTCATCCGGAAGACCTCATTAAACTATATAAAACGACTATTCTTTCAGTTCTTGAGTATGGCTCTTTTTGCTTCCACTCGGCAAGAAAAAGCCACCTAATCAAATTGGAACGTATTCAATATCATTGTTTACGTATTGCCCTTGGCTGTATGCATTCAACACACAATATGAGCCTAGAGGTCCTAGCGGGCGTAAAACCCCTGCAGAACCGTTTCTGGGAGCTCTCATTAAGAATATTGATTAAATGTAGTGTCAGTAACAACCTTGTGATTGAAAACTTCGAAGAAATGCTCGAATTGAGCATCCAGTCTAGATTCGTGCGAATCTATCTTAATTATATGTCATCGGATATTAGCCTTCCTTGCTATAACCCCTCTCGTGTATGCTTTACTAACTACAGTTCCCCCATTGACTACGATCTCTCCATGAAACAGGCTATTCAAAGAGTTCCAGATCAACTTCGACCTATCTCAATTCCCCACATTTTTGCTGAAAAGTACCAACAAGTCAATTGCAATAGAAGATTTTTCACTGATGGATCATGCATTGATGGATCCACTGGCTTCGGCGTCTTCAATGAATACTCAACCGCCTTTCGGAAACTTCAGGAATCTTGTTCCGTTTATGTTGCTGAGCTAGCAGCAATTAACTTCGCATTGGGGATGATTTCCGATATGCCCATAGACCATTACTTCATCTTCTCGGATAGTCTCAGTTCGATTGAGGCTATTCGGTCGATGAAACAAGGTAGGCACTCATCTTATTTCCTTTCAAAGGTAAGGGAGCAGATGAGTTTGCTGGTCGAAAGATCATATATGATTACCTTTGTATGGGTCCCCTCACGTTGCTCAATCCCAGGCAATGAGAGGGCAGACTCTCTCGCAAAGGTGGGCGCACAACAAGGCGAGATTTATGATAGAAGAATTTCACATGTTGAATTTTTCCCACTAGTACGTCAGAGTTCTCTTTTAAGTTGGCAAAACGATTGGACAAGTAATTCTCTTGGACGGTGGTTACATTCCATTATTCCAAATGTTTCTTCGAGAGCGTGGTTCAAAGGTCTGGATGTAAGTCGGGGATTCATTCGAGTGATGTCAAGACTTATGTCCAACCACTACTCGCTAGACGCACATCTCTATAGAATAAACCTCGTTGACAGCAATATATGTAGGTGCAGAACCGGTTATGATGACATCGATCACGCAGTTTGGTATTGCCCGGGTAATGACGCCTCCAGAGCACGACTATTGGATACCCTAGTGGCCCGAGGTAGACAACCCTTCCGTGAAGTAAGAGATGTATTGGGAACACGTGATCTTCCCTACATGCAAGCGATCTACGAATTCCTTTGTTTGTCTGATGTTAGAGTTTGATGTGGCTATCCCCTCCTTTCCAAACAATTTCCCGCCATTGTGTCCCAGTCTTATTATCCTCCTGTTCCTGTGCTACTTGCCCCTGCCCAGTCAGGATTTGGTCAACCGTCCGAGAGTAGTATCTGAAGGAGGCTTCAGAAACCAGTCTCCTACCTAGATCCTTCCAATTGAAATTGTTATCCATTTACCTCGAGCCCGCCACGAGTAATTGGTACCCAATACTAACCTAGTAATACTGCTATTTAAAATGTAAATCAAACATTACTGATTTTGGCTCCGCAAAGTGTCACACACGACTGAGCCTAGTAAATAAACGAACTAGTTAAAAAAAAGCTGATGTATGAAATAATGATGTAATAGCAAATAGCAGATACAATATTACATCAATGGATGTAATTTTGTTCGCAAAATCGATGTACATCGTACAATGTGAAATTACACAACCGATGGATTGACCTGGTTGCAGCAGTTTCGATGTAATATTCAACGACTTTTTTTGCTGTGTACTTATGCTGAGTAGCTTTCGCGACAAACTACTGAATACGGTAGTAATAGCAACAACAATACGAAACTAACGATTTTTAATTGGCTCACTACTTGACTAGCCTATTGGAATTTATACTAGAATGGGGTACGTTAATCGTTTGCTTGGGACCAATACACTAATAAAATTCCACACATTTTTATTGACGAATTTCCATGTGAAATTCCACATGATTTTCATGTGACCACACATAAACAGAATCCACCCAGAAGCACACATGAAATTTATGAGCCAAATGAATAGTATGTGTGGTTACACATGGCTTTTATGTGTACACATATTAAGTATGTGCCCGACACATAAATATCATTTGTTGATCACATTGCAAAAATTAATGTGTGGGACACATAAAAACAATCTTTGAAATTTTATCAGTGTAGGCTAGTCAAGTAGTGAACCAATTTAAAATCGTTAGTTTCGTATTGATTGTTGGTTTTACTGAACAGTCCATCAAACGAAATTCCAAAATTGCTAATCTCACCAGTAAGTCAACTTGCTTGTGTCATCCTCCTCTGTTTCACCTCGCGTACTTTATCTCGGAAATCTCTGTGTGATAACAGAAAACCGAGGGGCATCTACCCGACTTGAAAATGTGTATTTTTTTTATTTTTTTTTTTCGTATTTATGTATTTTTAAGTTTTGTGTATTTTTGTATTAAAGCCTAGTATACAGATCGAAGCGAAACGAAATTTGAAGCACGCGAAAAATCATGAAATTTCGCTAGCGAAAAAGGTTGTGAAAAAATGTTTGTGGAACATTTTCCAGTTTCCTTTTTTCACAGTTTACAGTTCATGTGAAACGAAATCGATCAGTTTACACCTCCGGTGAAGTGAAAATCTGACAGATACACTCTCCCGAAACGTCAACTTTTCGCTTAGCTGCTGTTTTTTTCGCGAGCGCTGCATGCGCGAAAAAAAAATAAACGTAAGCGAAAAAGATGCGATCCACAAAATTAGATTTCGCTGGATCGTATCTGTTTAAGCCTAGTATACAGATCGAAGCGAAACGAAATTTGAAGCACGCGAAAAATCATGAAATTTCGCTAGCGAAAAAGGTTGTGAAAAAATGTTTGTGGAACATTTTCCAGTTTCCTTTTTTCGCAGTTTACAGTTCATGCGAAACGAAATCGATCAGTTTACACCTCCGGTGAAGTGAAAATCTGACAAATACGCTCTCTCGAAACGTCAACTTTTCGCTTAGCTGCTGTTCTTTTCGCGAGCGCTGCATGCGCGAAAAAAAAATAAACGTAAGCGAAAAAGATGCGATCCACAACATTAGATTTCGCTGGATCGTATCTGTTTACAGTTCAAAGCGAAGCGAAATATTTGCCAATTGCGTTTTTCACGCAGGTGAAAAATGCAGTATTTTGTATGAGATTTTCGCTTCGCTTCGATCTCTATACAGGCCTTTACAGTTCAAAGCGAAGCGAAATATTTACCAATTGCGTTTTTCACGCAGGTGAAAAATGTAGTATTTTGTATGAGATTTTCGTTTCGCTTCGATCTCTATACAGGCCTTAAGGTGTATTAAATTCATTATGAAATGTATTTTTCGTGTACAAAGTATTTTCGATGTATTTTTGTGTATTTTTATTAGGGTATATTAGTTTCAGTGTGTACGCATTTACGTATTTTTTGTGTATTTTCCGATGTGTGTATTTACAATTAAGCTGATTTATGAAGTTGATCACCCCTCCCAGAAAGCCCTCGAGAAAACCTTTGTGAAAATCAAGGTGAAAATAAATGAAACATCTGGAAGCCAATGCAGGAGTGCTGAAACTGCCACGAAGTTGGACAGTTTATGCACTCCTGAATCAACTTCCAGATATTTCCTCGGATATTTCACTGATTTTGAAGCAAAAACATTCACTAACATTGCCTGTTATAGCTCCAAACATAGACACGCAATCTGCACACCAAGAAAACCACCATCCGGCCGAACCACCAGGATGCGATAAACATGTTAACCCTGTGTTAACCTCGTCTCTAAATAAAAATAGTAAAAAAAATATCAATTTAATCCTACCCATCGTATGGAACCAAAACAAATCTTTAATTACCTGTAAATAAACATTTTTGGTGAATTTACTGACTTATTCATCAAAATGCTGAAATAAAAATACTGAAAAACTCAGAAAAAATTAAGGTAAACAAATAAATTACTGACAGTCAGCAATTATTTTACTATTACTGGGTTGTAAACTATTGTAAACAAAAGTTGTAAGGCCCTTTACACGCGAACCTCGATGCGAACCGAAGTACGCCGTTCGCTCATCTGGTTGCAGCTATCATTCAAAAAGGCGATTTTTATGTTTCGATTTGAATTGGGTTCTTTAAGGGTATTGAGGTAAATGCATATACGTAATCTGCATTAAAAATGGAACCCAAACCCAAAATTTCATCAATTTTGGTACACTGGAACTATTTTAAATAAGTACGATTACGTTTGCAAAAATCACCTTATTAGCGCCCCTCGGTGTCACTTTGTATGGGAGCGAGCTGTCAGTTTGTTAGTTTAGTGTCAAACAGTGAAGTTATTATTTTGCTTTAAATCTTGATTTAAAAATCGAGATGAAAGTGTGTGGATTCGAAAAAAATATCGCTGTGCTCCAAAAACGAAGCTTTTTCAGATGATGTATAAAAAACTATACATTTTTCAAAATTAAAGAACCCAATTGTCTGAGGTTTCATTCGAACAGAGGACGATGGTTTGGTACAGTGTAGGTTTTATTCCAGTTTTTTTTGGTTAGCATTTGAAACCTTTGAAACACTCTTGGCAACACTGCTGACAACTGAGTAACAGTGACTCACTTTCTGAGCTGGTTTCTATGGTGACATAGATTTTTTTTTCTGATTATCATTTCGTGCCATCTGATTGAAATCTGATTTGAAAAAAATGTAAAATTTAATAATTACAATCATCAAAGTACAGTTCTTATTCAAATTATGGATTCTGTAACCTATTATTACAGATCCCTATCCGCAATGGCCGAGGTAAACCATCGCACGTTCAATGTTCAGCACTCTTCCGGTTCAGACGAACTTTCTTGCACTTCGGAGGATAACAAACGGCGCATCCGGAAAATGATAGAGGTGACTCGTTCGACGCGGTACACGACGTTCGTGGAAGGTGATGATGGAACGAACGATCCAAGTTTGGTCCCAAGTAGGGTTGGTGGCAATCGGAAGGACTTTCTCACAACCAGTATGGCCGTGATGGATTCAAGCCTGGGAAACCTACAGGAAGCAATCGGTGACGATAAGTATCAATTCGCTGCCAAGTGCCACTATAAGGCTGATCAGTTTATGGAGCGTCTGCAAAAAATTGATGAGAATGTGGGGGAATGTGCCAAAACGGTGGAAAAGCACCAGCACCTAAAGGCCAAGGTGCTTGTCAGAAGGGGACAGATCAAGGAAAAGCTCCAGGATGTAATGGAGGTCAGTCGGAAGAAACGTGCGAATCGAGAGAAGATTCTGATGAGCCTCATGAAGAAGATGTGCTGAGGTAAGTTTTAGTCTTACAGTAGGTAGTCAAAAGGTGGGTTATTATCTTCAGTTTTTTGGTTAACTGTCGAGTAACACTGAGTTCATTCGTGACGTCACGCTGCAGAACCTAACTGGCAGTTTATTCTCATATGAATTTCTGCTTTGTTTATTAGGTACTGCAGCGTGACGTCACGAATGAACTCAGTGTTAAACGGCTGAACCTTTTTGACAGTTCAGTGGTACTGTTTACAAGCACTTAGTCGTTTTTTCGAAAAAAAAAATTCTAAGATTTCCGAATTTTAACTTGAAAATTGTCGAGGAACAGCGCGTTGCAAGGATTTTGCTCGTGAACATTGCAGAAATGTGGTTTACATCTCACTGCAGTCTGAAAAATTATCGAGAAAATCCACCCAAGAAAAAATCGGCTAAGTCCACGTAAACAGTACCACTAAACTGTCATCAGATTGAGGTTAACCCCGACGGTGCAAAACCTAATTAGGTTTTGCACCGTCGGGGTTAACCTCAATCTGATGACAGTTTAGTGGTACTGTTTACGTGGACTTAGTCGATTTTTTCTTGGGTAGATTTTCTGGATCATTTTTCAGATTGCAGTGAGCTGTAAACCACACTTTTGCAATGTCCACGAGCAACATCCTTTCACCACGCATTTCCTCAACAATTTTCAAGTTAAAATTCGGAAATTTTAAAATATATTTTTTCGAAAAAACGACTAAGTCCTTGTAAACAGTACCACTGAACTGTCAAAAAGGTTCAGCCGTTTAACACTGAGTTCATTTGTGACGTCACGCTGCAGAACCTACACGGAGAAAAAATACTACCCAAAATTTGAGTTCTTCTTACTTAATATTGACTTCAGCCTCTCACTTGCACTCGTTATTGTTGTCAAAAAAGGAACAAGAGATTCGACCCAACGATATAGTTCAGCCCAATAAGCTACTTTTGAGTAAATTGCATATTCTCAAATTTGCGTGAATTAAACTTAATTTTGGGTAGAATATACTTAAGAGTAGGTAATTTTTTTTGCTGGTGTTAAGGTTCAAGACACAGTCAATCAATTGGGATTCTTCTTGTTTTTGAAATCTTCTTCAATCATCATCATTAATATACACATACATTCACACACAAGCCATCCGAAAATTTAAAGCAAGTATTTCATGATTTTACATCGTATATTTTCTGGGTAAAACACTATCACTGCATTTACTTACTTGTGTTCTTCATAGCATTCCACAATTTCACGTAATCGTATACACTAAATTTATTAAAACTGGAAGTCAAATCTCTTGGTGAACAAAACAAAACACTAAGAAAATCACTTCGTTTCCACTTCTTTGCTAGCGAACGTAGAAGAATCATTAGATCAAGCGTTGCCAGATGTATTACCTCTAGCATTGAATATAATTTTTTTTAAACATGCCAATACGAAGTTTAACCCAATAACTTAGATGAGTGGATGTTTTTAATGGCGAATAAATATCAAAAACTGAATGAATAAAAATAAAAGGTCCTTTTTTGGAACTTAAACGTTCCAATTACAAAGGTAAACAAAGATTGAATTAAACACAAACAGGGGAGATGGCAGCATTGCATGTAGCATGTTATTTGCTTTCCCGCTCAGGGGTGTAAACGAAATGTCATACACCGTAGTCTGGCAGTGTGAATGTTTTGTCTACGACATTCTTATACACGTGCATGTGTGACGTCACATTTGCTGTTGTATTGATAAGTAAAAGAATAAAAGAGACGGCAGATTTTGCTCACCATACCAGTTGATATATACGATTCATTGACTGTTTTGGCACGGCGACGCACGCTACCAACGAATTTTACCAATACTTTTAGAAAGTGATGATTTAGGATTACAAGAAGAAGAAGAAGCAAAAGAAAATCGAGTGATGGTTAGTTGCCTCTTAAATGGAAACTACTATATGCGATTTACTCAAATTTGGGTTATTGGGCTGAACCCCGGAATTGAGGGAAAAGTACTTAATTTTGGGTTGTTTTTCATCATGGAATCTTCTTTCGCGCACATAAAAAGAACAGAAAAACTTGGCAGGAATGGGTGACGGTTTCGCCACAAACGAAGTTACAGACGACTAACTGGCGAAGAAACCCATTAAAATAATGTGGTTCACTGTAATAGAATTTTCTTGGAAGCTTGTGCCATCATCCACCAGATGGGTTAGTTTTTTTGTTTTGATTTGAACAAAGTTGATTTTGTGTACAATGATTCTTTAACAGTGTGCAAAGAGTGCGTATCATAGAGATTGCTGACGTTTGTCGTACGTAGTGTGCGTCACGTATACGTATACGCAAAATGTTTTCATCGGGAAAAAAAAACTTCATAGCGGAAAATTTTCCCGATGAATACAAATCACTTACACAATCATACTTTAGTAATCTCTATTTTGTGCATTTGTATTTTTTATGCATTTCAGTTTTGAGTAGAGTGAACACGCTAACTTGAAAGTACTCATTAATGAGTAAAAAAAGACCCATTTTGAAGAAAAGTGGCTTAACTCATTAATGATTAAACAATTTTACCCATTAATGAGTATCTGTTACCCATTAATGATTAACAATTACTCATTAATGGGTAACAGATACTCATTAATGGGTAAAAAATTTACTCATTTAATGAGTTAAGCCACTTTTCTTCAAAATGGGCTACTTTCATTAATGGGTACTTTCAAGTTAGCGTGAAAGCAGCTGGGTGGCATGCCGCCATGTTATTGAAACCAACATCTGAAACGTCACAATTCCAGTGTGAACTGCAAAAATGGCGTGACTGAATTGTCTTATTTTTATCAAATGAAATTATTTTCCCTTTTATGCCATATAAATGGTTGACTTCGTGGTAGAAAATCAGAAAATAATATTTTATGAGTCCTAAGTTTATTTTTCGCAAAATGTAAGCAAAAATATTAAGAATATCCATAATATCAGTCACGCCTTTTTTGAAATTCTGGATTGAATCTTCTATTTGTTTACAAATTATGAGCTGTCAGTGGGGCCCACAATTCTCGCGTCACTTTTCAAATAGACCAATGTAACAAATGTAAACAAATCGAGCTAAGCGATACAAACTATTGCTCTTCTATCATTGTATGTGATACAAAAACATCCATCCAAATTTACTTTCATTTATTTAAGATAATCATTGATCAAAAATTGTCCAATGTACAGTTTGAAATGATGGGTATATGACTGTTACTTCGGTCATTCGGACTGCCTTACATGATTGGTGCTCATTTTCCAAAGGCGGGGCCAATCTAAAGTTAGGTACTATACTCTGAAATCTGTGAAAGAGAATCTAGTATCATGTAGACAAAACGTCCAATGTAACACTCATTGATTATGTCATTGAGAAAAATCGTCCAATGTAACATGTCCGATGTACAACTCGACTTGTCAAAACGTCCTATGTGGTTTTTTCTATGTTGTAGCATGAAATTCAAAGTAAAATTGTGATTTTACCGTTTCTTTTGATTTTTCAAAGTTATAAGACACTGACTACATTAAAAATAGTATTGCAAAATGTATAGTTTTTAAACAGTAAAAATAATAATCTGTCGAACTTTAACTTCGATTTTCTCAAAATGGTGGATATGTTACATTGGTCTATTTGAAAAGTGACGCGAGAATTCGCGGGCCCGCAGCGATGTTAGCTCTTTTCAAGGCAAGGCAAACAAGATAGGGATGCCACCTAGCTGAGTGAAAGAGATAGAACCAAAACATTCTAGTACATTCGGTGAAAATGCTAGTTCAATCCAGTAGTAGTGTTGCCATGTGGTTCAATCCAGTAGTGGTGGTGTTGCCATGTGGTACACTGAAAAATTACAATAGCAGGTTAGTCACCAAAGTTTTCGAGCCGCTCCGTCTCCCGCATAAACGCGAACCATAAATTGACCTTACCTAAAATGGTTAAAAATTGTTTATAATCCCTGCTAAACTTTAACTGAAATGGTTATGGAACTTTACATGAACGTTTAATGATAAAGTTTCAACCTTATGTATTATGGTTTTTTGGAACTGGACCTTACAAATAACGGGTTGTTAAGAACCATTACCGTTCCAAATTCTTGTTTTCTCCATACATTTTCGGAAAGAGAACTATATTAGAACCTTTTAACTTATGGTTTGAGAACTTTAATGGTAATGGTTATGATAGTCAGTAAGGTCCACGAATGGTTTTGAAACATCGATCAACTTTATGTGGAATATATCGCGAATTGGTTGCCTGTAATTTACTGATTACCAATTCACGATATATTCCACGTAAAGTTGAGCGATAATACAAAACCATTAATGGACCTTACTGACTACCATAACCATTACCATTAATGTTCTCAAATCATAAGCAAAAACGTTCTTATAAAGTTCTCTTTCTGAAAACGTATGGAGAAAACAAGAATTTGGAATGGTAATGGTTCTTAACAACCCATTATTTGTAAGGTCCAGTTCCAAAAAACGATAATACATAAGGTTGAAACTTTATCATTAAACGTTCATGTAAAGTTCCATAACCATTTCAGTTAAAGTTTAGCAGGGATTATAAACAATTTTTAACCATTTTAGGTAAGGTCAATTTATGGTTCGCGTTTATGCGGGCTGTCACTTCGTTTGTGGTTTCGCGGTCGGTTGTTGTTTTACGTGAATCCGATGTTGTTGATCTCATTTTGAGTGTTAATGTCGGAATTAAATAGTTAAATAGGCGATAAGTGATAGTTTTCCACCTAGGAATGCATAGGACGCTGAAGTTTTTGAGAAAATCAGTGCTTTCCGATCATAATTCGTGTACTTTTCTTCAGTTCGATTTACGATCCGCCATGTTTTTTTTTTCGTTTGGTTGCGCAGTGCCTTTATCGCATAGGGATAATGTGTGGTAATGTGTGTGAGCGTCGATGTCGCAAATGCACACATTATTGAATGATCAGAGTTTTTTTTTTGAGGACTGAAGGCAAGCATCAGAAGATTTTGCGCTATCTGCGTGGTTCGATTTTTTCTCCCGGACCAGAAATTTGTGGCATCGCGAGTGAAAACTTTAAATTTCAGTTTATTTACGCGGTGATGACAACGGCGCTGATCTATTGTTAGGGTTTTGCAATGTTCATTGCTTTTGTGCACGGAGTGACTTGAAAAAAAAGCGAAGAAAAGTGATAGGTTGTTGTGTGGTTGGAGTCGCTGGAGAAGGAATTGTTTAGAGATGACTAGAGAAAAATATGCGTGGAAGCATCGGGAATACGCTCCCGGGTGAAGTGATTTGGTGAGTACGTTCCAGTTGAAGATTGTTGACAAGTGTATTTGTGGTGATGCAAATTATGGTTTAGATGACGCATGGCTTCAAACATTTTGTGTATTCAAATAAAACATATTACATAATAAATACGCACAGGGCATCGTCTGCTGACCATTGCCGCGGGTATATCGTGGGAGTCCCAGGTACCCGGTTCAAGCTTTAGTTGGCGGCGGTGGCTCTTCTTGACCTTCTATCCCCTGAGTAGTTAGTGCGAATAAGGGCGTCTATGTGATGTTTTGCTGTACCTGTTGTGGACATCTAGTGCATCCTGTTCCCTTAACTTGTTGAGGACACCCTGTCTTGCCTCAAAAGTTATCCTTTTTGAAGTACTAGTTTTCACAACATAAAGGGCACCATTACGGAGCATGAGATTTGATCAAGTTATTCGCAGTTCTACTTGTCCAACGCCCCCGGCTGGGTGAGGGATAGAAGATGAGACACACATAAAAAGAATAGAAAAACTTCTTAATGGATCAAGGGGTTTTCCTTTATTCGAAAATATAAGAAAAGGAAATAATTAATTCTTTGGATATACGATAAAGAAGGGAATATTCCCTTCTTTTAATATACGAAAGAGAACATAATTAATTCGTTAAATATATGATAAAGAAGGGAATATTCCCTTCTTTGAAAATATAACAAAATGAAATAATTAATTCTTTAGATAAACGATTAAGAAGGGAATATTCCCTTCTTTTAATATATACAAGAGAACATAATTAATTCGTTAAATATATATGATAAAGAAGGGAATATTCCCTTCTTTGAAAATATAACAAAAGGAAATAATTAATTCTTTGGATATACGATAAAGAAGGGAATATTCCCTTCTTTTAATTTATAAGGAAAATATATAATCAATAAATCCTTTAAATTTGTCGAAACTCTTAACGGAATCCCTTTATGAAGAGCTTTGAGTGGGTTGGTTTATTTCCTTTAAATTCCGTTGCTTATCTTTTGACAGATACGCGTATTTCTTCTACTACTTGCAAACCTCATCAGTGCCAAGTACTAAGTGGTGTTGAGTACTTGGCACTGATGAAGTCTGCAACACTGCAAGTAGTAGACGAAATACGCGTATCTGTCAAAAGATAAGCAATTATAACGGAATTTAAAGGAAATAAACCAACCCACTCAAAGCTCTTCATATAATCAATAGTTTTTCGCAAGGGATTCGGGGTAATGCCCATTCGGGATAATAACGTGTGGAATAATGTTATAAATTTGTTATCGGTAGTTCAACGTTTCATGCACTGATTTTTTAATCCATCACGGGAAATTCTTCAACTCAGGTCGAACAATAATTCTTCGATAAGGTTTAACAGTTTCCGACTGGTTGAATTGGATTGCATAAGACCCTTTGACTTTTTAAATGATGAACGAAGTGCTCGAAAACTTGAAGGTTGTCATTTTCTAAAGAGCTATAAAATGGTTTGGAATTGATAAATACATAGTTCCATAAAAGTAATAAATAAAATATGTAGGGGAATTCACGTATTCTCGGCAACCTAAGCAGCGACCTTCTTTCTATAGCCTTTTTATCTAAGGAACGCACACATATGCAGTATTGGCACAAACGAAGTGACAGACGACTAACTGGCGAAGAAATCCATTAAAATAATGTGGTTCACTGTAATAGAATTTTCTTGGAAGCTTGTGCCATCATCCACCAGATGGGTTAGTTTTTTTTGTTTTGATTTGAACAAAGTTGATTTTGTGTATAATGATTCTTTGACAGTGTGCAAAGAGAGTATCATCATACACGGTAATTCTAGAATACTCCTTTTATGACTATGTTTTACACATTTTCGAGAATACGGTTTATACGTCAAAAAATGTTTAGATTTTAGTTATAAATGAAGAGTACTTTTTATGCATTTCCGAGTATGTCAACGACGAACAAAAATGTGTAAAAAGTAGTCCCCGCTGAGAAAAGAAAATTTATGCCGCGACGTGCCGCCATTTTCAAAACAGCTTTCATTGGAAAAGCAGCGTTTGAATTCAGTTCCCGGTCCCGGATTATTTCTGCGGTGGGTCAGCGGAAAAAGGGAGGAATTGTCCACTTTGGAACAGGACGTATTCACGACACTGGCAGGTAATTAAAGCATTTACTTTTATTGTTAACCAAATACAAATTTATAATCGAATAAAAAAGGACATCGAGTATTCATTACGTGTTAAATTTAATTTTCATCTAAATGTAGATCATGTCTGCGGATGCCTCCGAATCATGGGACAACTGTCCAGAAAAGGCGTTAAAAAACCGCCAAATGTGATGCCATTGGGAGTCGAGGAGGAGTTGGCAGCACCGCTGATTCGATGGATTGGTGTAAGTGTTTTGACGATTGATGCGAATAAAATCTAGAAAGGATTTATTCCATTTAATTAAATAAATAAATAAATAAATATTACTGTTCAAATTCTTATGCATTTTCATTCAATATTTGAAACGAACTTGAAATACAAAATTTGTTTTATCGTAGGTATATTTTTTTTTCAATGTAAAAACTATGCATTTATCTATGCATGTGGGAGTATAAATTACGCATTTATACTTTGTTCGGGGTGTCAAAACTACGCATTTTTAAGTTTACTATGTGGTGTAAAAAGTATGCAGATTCTGACGTACATTCAATTTACGCAAAAGAGAGTAAAAACAGTATACTCCTTTATTGGGTAGTCCCATTTTCCAAAGAAAGAGCGTACTTTATAGTCATAAGAGAGTTTGTTGTGATTACCGTGTAATAGAGGTAACTCTAAGACAACTGGGTCCCGAAGAAAATCATTATTATTTTTGGCTCACTCAGTACCAGAACAACGGTCCCAAGCAGTCCCACGCTTTTTCACTCACCCCTGCATGTTCTGCATGAATCCACACACCCCTGATGTTATCTGTCAAACTTTCATAGCGAATCAAAACAAACATAGTGTAGTAATAGAATTTCAACTAGAATAGGGTACGTTAATCGTTTGCTTGGGACCAATAGGCTACTAAAGTGGTGAGCCAATTTAAAATCGTTAGTTTCGTATTGATTGTTGGTATCATTTTGTCATTTTTTTATGCATTTCAGTTTTGAGTAGAGTGAAAGAGATAGAAACAAAACATTCTAATACATTTGGTGAAAATGCTAGTACAATCCAGTAGCAGTGTTGCCATGTGGTACAATCCAGTAGTAGTGGTGTTGCCATGAGGTACACTGAAAAACTGAAATAGCAGGTTAGTCACCAAAGTTTTCGAGCCGCTCCGTCTGTCACTTCGTTTGTGGTATTGGTTTGTTTACAATCTCTTGCTGCCAGCTGCTCTAACAATTTCAGTCGAAAGAATTGTCAAAAACTGTTTTGAAACGCTTTTACAAAGCTCCAATCTTCTCTAGTGAGAGCGAGTATTGTCGGCAACCAGTTTTTCTTCGGCAACCGTTCCATTTGAACTGCATGTAAATCTGCTGTTCTATTATCGGCAACTCGAAATCAGCTACAATTTGTAGTGCGTGCGTTTCATTTCAAGAAAAGCTTGCTAGATTGCTTTTTCTCAGTGGTAAAAATATAGTCAAATTGAAGCTGAAAGCATAAAGAATCGTTTGCATGCATTCAGCGAAGCGTTTTCGTAAGAAAATCTAGTGAAAATAGTGTTTCATTTTGGGTTGCCGAAAATAGTCTGGCATGCCGAAGCCGTCATTTCCCCTATATAAAGCTATTCTGTAATATAAAAGTGAAATATAATATCAAATAACCAAAAAAAGTGATAAATTACTGATTTCATCATCTTTTCTGGGGAATGATGCATTCTGGGGAATGATGCATTCTGGGGAATGGAATTCTAGGGAATGGTTTTCTGGGGAATGTTATAGAATCTACAAAACCATCTATGAACCTTACTGACTACCATAACCATTACCATTAAAATTCTCAAACCATAAGTAAATAGGTTCTAACACAGACAAACAGACATAACACTTGCAAGTTGTTCATCGAACAAGCATTTAACGGACAATTTAAAAGTATCGTGGTTGGTAGTACCGCCACCTATGGCAATTCTCTTGCGTTTGAAGTTTACACACTACCGCCATCTGTTCAGCGTAGTGCCCACCACAGTGTATTCAACAGATGGCGGTAATGTTTTAGCGACGATGTTTTACAGTGAGAAATATTCAATGTGTTATGTCTGTTTGTCTGTGGTTCTAATATAGTCCTCTTTCCGAAAATGTATGGCGAAAACAACTATTTTGAATGGTAATGGTTACTATGTTGATTAGATTTGAAATTTGTATCTTTCGCATTTCTTATTGTAACCCTAAAGTGAAGCTTAAGATTTGTTTTTCTATTTTCAGTTCCTTCCTACAAACATCACTCTGAGTCCACTCATGCAGAAAAGACTAATTTTGTGCCCTATAAACCATATATAACACTTGACTGAATAAACATTATAAATAAAAATCCATTGATTTTGTTTTCGTAATGTCCAAATAAAAATGAAAGGAAGCGTCATTATTCAAATGAAGCACAGGAATTGTCTGGTTGTGTTAGAAAGGTAAATATCCAGTGTTACGGAGACGATGAAGTCGTTCGGACCTCTTAAAGGCAAACTCGTATGTTTGTTTGTTTAGAGTTAGCTTGTAGCTGTAAATTTATTAGTTTTTAGTTTCAACGCATGTTTTTAGCACATTTTAGGTTACTTACAATTTTAATCCACTTCGTAAACAATTATTCGTCTGTCGTAACAATAGTTTATGCTTATTCGTTGAGTTCTTGTAAATGATATGTTTCAATTAATATTATGTGTTTATTTTAAAGCAAAGTGTACTTACAATTATATTTATAATTAACAAATGTATAGTCCAACTTTTAACAATTACTAATTTTTAAGGTGTTGTATGTTCTGTGTTGATCTTGGTAGTAACTTAACAATGATAAAGAAAGTGATAACTGACAACTCAAGCTAACGACTTCTCACTTGACGTTGTCCGGTGACGTTATCATTTAACCGTTAGTTCTACAGGGTATCGTCAGCGTTTGCTGTTGACGGGGGGTCTGGTACCGTTGCGCACATCCAGGGAGCTAGAAGAAGAATAATTCATAACTGATGATTTTTTATACTGTTGCTTGCTTATTGACCTTTCTGACGTTTATAACACGCATACTTGCGTAATACTATTTTCAAGTTCGAAGTTTGTCATCTTCACTTTCGCTTCAGCCAAAAATGTTGGTTTGTTATTGTTATCCTTGTGGACCATCAATACTCGTGCGCATAGAATGGACTATAGGCAGGGTTGTCTATACTCAACCTGGTCTATACAAGGTGTGGAATTGTAGGCCTGAATGTATTGGTGCACTTCGTTTTTTATTCGGCTTTCATTCCGCTTCGCACGATTCGTTTCCTTCGTTCACTCAATCACCCTTGTAGTGACGTCATAACGTTTGATTCGATCGGCGCTTGCATAGGAAATTTAACATGGATTTTATAATGTATGTATGCTACCAAAATTTATGAATGGTCTGCTACTAAATGTTAAGATAATGTATTGATTACTGAATTATCACACCATGAAAAAGCAGCCTGTTTGTGAGTTTTTGCCTGTTTTCAAGTAAGGAGTTATCTAAAAAAAACCAAATCGCCAGCTGATATTTTCCAGCGACTTTACAAAAGAATACAAGCAAGCAAAATCATCATGCAAAAATAGCTAGGATTTGTTTTCCTTCTTATTTTGCAAAATAGCTTTCGAGTGTTATGACGTCGTCACCATCGTCTCCCACAAAGTTTACATTTTTCCCTCTACCAACACATACGTCAGGGCTAGATCTTTACACCTTGTATAGACCAGGTTGGTCTATACTCACTTCCTATAAAATAATGTTTCTCGAAATTATGAAATCATTAGATCTTATAATAATATTTTGTATTTATCTTGTATGTTACAGTAAGCCCATTAACGCCTGGAAGACCACCGAAGCCGAACCCTCAGGTCCGAACCAGTGCTGTTAATTTTCATATCATTCGATTGAAGATGAACCAATACAACCATTCAATCAATTCTGAATTTTCACATGACCATAATTTGAAGATCCCCTTTCTCATTCCAAGCTCATCGCCACTGTCAATTGAGTCACTCACTATCATTTGATATACGACAGTGGAGTATGGAAGAAACCCAGCATAATGGTCCCGAACAGACAAGTCGACTCGATGTCGAATTAATGTAAGGCAAATTTAAGTTCGATGTTGACCCAATGTCGTGTTGTCGGGTTAATTTTGGGTTTATGTCGAGTCAACATTGGGTTGGGGTTTAGTAGAAGTCAGGTTGGTGTCGGGTTGGCTTAGCTTGTTCGCCGGAATGTCGACCAGAGCTCCGTTTATGTGTAGGTTACACTCAATTGAATGATATCAAGCGATTCTCAAATGAGAATGATTCATCCAAATGACTAAGCAACTGATATCACCCATTCGAAGGAGGTCCCTTTGATAGCGAATAGCTACTTTTCTCGTTTTTATCAAAAAATGTTCAATTGATTTTAAAAATTTTTTATGAATAATTTCAATGGAATTCCACCCAATGTTTCTATGGAGACTCATTTTATCAAATGTTAAGAAATTTAATTGGAATTATGAGAAAAGAAAATCTCTCGAAATTTCTGGGAGACTAAATTATGCCAATTTTTGGTAATTATTATTAATAGCTTGAGGGAATTGTGGAATCGGAGAGTGATTTTTAAGAGATACCAGGGATAATTCTAAGATCTCTTAGAATGTTACTGAAACAGTTTGAATATTATCAAGATTATTTTAGGAGAATCCAGAAAAGAAATATGATGGAATTCTAGGATGATTCAAATGGAACTCTGAAAAAAAGGACGAAGATATCCAGTGAAGAGTTCCAACTAAATTCAGATTGATATGGGACCCAGTAGAAACCTAAATTCCAGAATTTAGAATAATTTCAAAACCAGGAGACTTCAAATATGACGCTTTTAGACTTAAATTTTAGTTATTTAATCAATTTTTTCTTTGGCATAAAATTATTCGTAATAGTCATGCGTATAGTAGAGTTACCCGTATTTTAGCTAAACTATTGGTGAGTACCACGATGTGAGGCTTTGATTCCCACTTCAGCCAGGTGAATTTTGCTTTAAAATAAAATTGCCTACTGGTCAACTGGGTGTTGTGTGTTGTATTATGTCAAGAATTAAATTATAAGTCTGATCAACCTCAGGGTAATGTTAAAATTGTTCAGAGCAAATAAAGTCCTTAATATATATTCCGCGCAACGCTGGTATTGAGAGCCCAAGCGAGATAGCAGTCTATTAAGGGGAGGTTTACTTGGATTTGGCTGAAAAACAGTTGAACTTTGGAATTTTTTTTCAGGAGAATGAAAAGACATACGAATTTCCGGTTTCGATAATTATATTTGTCCACTATTCCTGAATACTTGGAAATTTTTTGAAGGTAAAAAAACAAAATGGCGGCTCGCGTGGAGGAGTGTCAGTCAGGTTTTGCTGCAGAACTTCGAGTGCACACCCTCTGGTGGTGAACTGAAATGAAATTTTTTTTATTGTGGTATTTTTTATATTCCCTATATTCCCTATGGCTTATACCTAACTAGAACGAAATCCGACAAAAATTGACCAAATTATGGACATTTGAAAATTTAGTGCTTTTTTACCCCTTTTTTTCTCACTTTGACCTTGCTTAAAAAATAGTAACTAACATTTTTTTTTATTTTAGGTATAAGCCATACAAAAAATAGTATCCTTCAAAGCGCAATTTTCCGATTGTAAATCGGATCATTTGTTCAAGCCCTATGCTCTAAGTTGTTATAAAAAATATATTTTCGAGAAAAACGCGTTTAAAGTTTTTGTAGCGTCCCTCAGCGCGCATGACAAAGGTTCACTCAAAGCGCCATAACTCGCTAAATATGTTTCGGATCGTAAAATCCTTTTGGCCACATATTCTACACACTTGTAGCTTTCATTTTATGCAAAAAAATCAATTTTTTTGAAAAAATCCAAGTTAAGGGGGACTACAATAAATTCTCGGCAAAAATAGACCGATCGCCAATTGGTCTCGAAAACCGACCAGGTCAGGGACATTAAAAATAGATTTAGATTGATTACAATCCCCCTTATTCTGCGAGTCACGTGACTCTCTCTCACCGGTGAGGTGACAATTGTCACCTCGTGTGAGGTGACTCTCCATGCAAATCAAATGGAGAGTCACCTCACACGAGGTGACTATTGCCACCTCACCGGTGAGAGAGAGTCACGTGACTCGCAGAATAGGGGGAATATGTGAATAAAGGGTGATACGGTCAAAATTTGGTCAATATCAACTTGACGTATTTCTTTCAATTTTGCATTTAAAAAACCTGAACACCCCTCATTTTGAAGGTGTGTGTGTGTAGAATGTTGCTCCTATTTTGATTTTGGAATTCACTCTTCAGTTGTCAAAATGCTGTCCAAGCAAGAAGAGCAGCGTATCAAAATTTTGCTCGCGCATCGCGAAAATCCGAGCTACTCGCACGCAAAGTTGGCAAAATCGCTAAAAGTTGCCAAATCAACCGTTACAAATGTAATTAAAGTGTTTGGGAAACGTTTGTCGACAGCCAGGAAGTCTGGATCGGGGGGAAATCGAAAACCGGAAGCCGCTGAGACGACAAAGAGAGTTGCCGGTAGTTTCAAGCGAAACCCTAACCTCTCTCTCCAAGATGCCGCAAATAAGCTGGGTGTATCGTCTACAACCGTGCATCGAGCCAAAAAACGAGCCGGACTATCGACTTACAAGAAGGTAGTGACTCCAAATCGCGATGATAAACAAAATACGACGGCCAAAGCGCGATCCCGGAGGCTGTACACGACGATGCTGACGAAGTTTGACTGCGTGGTAATGGACGACGAAACCTACGTCAAAGCCGACTACAAGCAGCTTCCGGGAGCTTATACGGCAAAAGGAAGGGGAAAGGATGCAGATGTTTTCAAGCACATGAAACTGTCAAAGTTCGCAAAGAAATATCTGGTTTGGCAAGCCATCTGTACCTGTGGCTTGAAAAGCAGCATTTTCATAGCTTCCGGGACTGTCAACCAAGAAATTTACGTGAAAGAGTGTTTGAATAAACGTCTGCTGCCTTTCCTGAAGAAACACGGTTGTTCCGTACTGTTTTGGCCGGATTTGGCATCTTGCCATTACGGTAAAAAGGTCATGGAGTGGTACGCCGCCAACAACGTGCAGGTGGTTCCCAAGGACAAGAACCCTCTCAACACGCCAGAGCTCCGCCCAATTGAGAAATACTGGGCTATTGTCAAGCGGAACCTAAAGAAGACCAAAAAAACTGCTAAGGGCGAGCAGCAGTTCAAGGCAAACTGGCTTTCTGCGGCGAAGAAGGTGGACAAGGTGGCTGTACAAAATCTGATGGCAGGGGTCAAGCGTAAGGCCTGGCAATTCGGATTTGGAAAAGCGGAAGCCTAACTGAATATTTTTCCTGAATTTTATACTAATTGAACTTGAAAAAGAAATTTAATTTGATTTTTTAAATAAACGATTTCACCGATTTACACGCGTTTTCCCTTGACCAAATTTTGACCGTATCACCCTTTACTTAACGGCCATCCAAATCCAGTCCGCTTTGAGAAGCGTCCGAGAACAGTTGTGTGTTTTTGCTCCGCTGCGTGCTTTTTTTTAGAGCTCGGGCTATCTTTGTGCTGCCGTGTAGTTTTTCGGTGCTCGCATTTGAATAGTTTTGTGTCCCGGACGCGATAACTCGATTTAGAATGATTTGTGCTGATGTTTCCCCCCTGTTGCTTTGGTGCCTGGAATGCTCTTGCTCCCTTTGTTGACGGTGTGACTCGACCGCGCTGATCTATTATTAGGTTTTTGCGGTGTGCATTGCTTTTGTGCACAGAGTGACATGAAGAAGAAAAGTGATATTTATTTATTGTGTGGTTGGATTCGCTGGAGGAGGAATTGTTTAAAAATGACTAGAGAAAATTAAGCACCGAGAATGCGCTCGCGGATATATTGATTTGGTGAGTACGTTCCAGTTGAAGATTGTTCTCTCTAAATATCCCTTTTTGAATACATTTAATTTATCAAACATTATTATATGCTGGGTTTGGGGGGGGGGGGGGGTTGCAGCCTAAGGGTTTCAAAGGATTTGTAGACTGGACGAGGGTTCGTGGATTTGCCAGTCCCTTGTCACGTGTTGATAGACGTACATCTTGTCGTTTGTCTTCCAAAGGTCTTCAATGAAGTTGATTCACCCTGCTGCAACAAACCATCAGGCAGAACTTTACAACCAGTGAAGTATCTGCAGTCATAGGTAATCCTTGCACTGATGGTGGGTTCTATTCACATCACATCACTCAACGGCCGTCCAAATCCGTTCTACGGAGTCCCATGGATCGTTTTTAGTAGCCCCCCAATTAATCCTGTATGGACTTCCACTAGAACTCATTAAACTATTTACTGGTGGTATTAAAGATATCATTGATTCGCCTATCCTATACGAGGTTCATCCAACAACAAAAAAAAATCCAAATGTTTAAATTGGTTTTGAATTGTTTATTTTACATATCGTAGTACATTATAACAATAATTTTATTTAAATCTATATACAATCCATGCTCTTCCATCAGCATTCGCCCACATGCTTTAAACGCCGATGTGACCCTATATGCTTCGCCTAATAATCTTACTTGCTTGTAATCTTAATTGTTATGTATCATCTCTATCCGTAGCGACATCATTCTCCGCATTACAATCAACATTCCAGTGTTCCTGCTCGATCCTTTCGATTCTGTCTGCTTTTATTCCGTCACATTTTGGTACGGTCCGATAGGAAAAAAAAATCCCTTTGATGCAAATATCATACGTTAATATTAGAAATAGATGTAAAATGCTTCATCAATTGCATTTTTCCAATTTCACACGCGCGTGCTTATCGCCGCTGGAAGAGAAAAATAAACCTACGTGCAGAACCCAAAAACAACGAAAACTTGCCTTGCTTTTCACAAACATTCTGCTGCAGCGGTGATACAGGTGCGTGAGATACTAGCAGTTTATTTTTGTGTCGGAAAAAAATTGTCAATGCCACAAACGCAAAACATTCAAGAACGATTCCCAGTGGCAGGGGAATAACATAACAGCTAATAACGACAGTGAATGGGAGGCGATGGACCGTAAACAAAACGTAAAATCACAATATGTTACAATCTGCTCCTACTGTTCTTCGATTCTGGGGCTAGTGTCGTGTCAACATACGATGCTTCGTCACTTTCTAGACCTGCTTTAGTAACTTTTGGTTATATTCCTAGTATTTTTTTTTAAACGCTGCTTTCAATCATCCAATCTGCTATCATTATAAAAGGGCTTCTTTCTTACTGAATTGTGATTTTTTTGATTATTGGATTTATCAGCTATAAATAGGTAAAATAAAATAAAAAATATACTCCATTAGTGTATTATTACTATTACTATTCTTTTGTTTCCTTCGTGAATGTCTTACTATTATAGCATTAATCTGCTGTAAAAAGTATCGTAGGATGTAGAAGGGAACAGGAATATAAACGGAATCTAGAAAAGCAAGCTCAGCGCCAAAAGGGGGAGTTTCTTTGTGTTTGGACTTCGATGCTAACCGAAACTATCGTCCCTCTCAAATCGTCATCCTATGCTAGGCTAGAAAGGTATGATTCCGCTAGAACACTACCACGATTACGGTGCACAAGTCTTGCTTATTTAGTGAATGCGGCAAACACCGCCCAGATGACCTCGTTGGCATTCGCTTTGGCTGCCTCTGTTTCAAAGTCCAGGTCCAGCAGTTCCCGCACGCGTCGCATTGCAAGCTCGTAGTCATCGTCGTTTAGCGGGGCAAAGGCATTCTCCAGTACGTCGCTAGCGTGCGCCAGTAGGATGAGTGCTAGCATTCGCTTGTCGATACGCTGCGGATCGTTGACCCACTTCGTTAACACGGCGTCTTGAATCTGCAAATTGAAGTATAACGCATCAGGTTCTTAGGACATTCATTATTGGTTAGGAAGCGTGACTTACTTTTTTCACTAGCCGACACTTGATAACGTTATCATTCAGCGGATGCGTCGTCATGTCGAATAAGAGGAAGTTCTGTTTTTCCGTCGTGAGCACACCCTTCTCCACTAAATTCTTGGCAAGCCTTTCGCGTACATTCTTCAATTGGTACCGCAGCTTCAGAGGGTTCCAGGTTTCACCTTCGGAAGGAATAGATTTCAAAATACACATTTACACAAAAGGCAAACAATTTAGACGCCCTCACCACTCAGATATTCGATCCAATTTTGTATGGTTTCCGGTGGATCGGTTTCTTTTATGTGCTTCAATGCCTCATCCAGCAGAACGTCACCGGTGGGTGTGTCCGACTTGAGGATGATTTTCCTAGTGCACAGCCCCTTCCGTCGCATGCCCGCCCTTTCCAGTTCGACGCGACCTCGCAGGCCGAGTTCTATCAGGATGCATCCGCGTAACCCACTCGATATGCAGTCATTCCAGAAGGATGTGTAGCCCTGCAACAACAACAAAAACAGTAGATATTTAGATATTAGTTATAGTTAAGGAGAAGCTTCCTAATTTTACATTAAAGTTAAGTTAAAGCTTGCGAATTGATTGTGAATTCATATTTTTGGCTTGAAAGTGAAAACAATGTCTGCACACTGCATCTGCAGTCAAGGTGAACAGGAAATAAATTAGGGTTATCACCGTAGTCAACAAAGCCGTCAGGACAACGAAAGAAAATTGCAGAACTACATAAATGACGTCATTACTGTCACCGAAAAGACCGGTGTCGAAAAGTAGTCGTCGGAAATCTTCTTGAACGATGCTGATGGAAAACCAATAATTGCCGCCAATGATTACGCTACTAGATCTGTTACACCTTTACCTGACCGTACCGTCAACTCTGCTGCCGGAATGGTACAACCTGCACAAGTGCCATTGAGTTTGGATAAGAGTATCGGAATGGAATCAGAACCCCGCACCACGGGAAGCATGTCGATCGTTGAGACGGCAAAGAAAGTTCAGATGGTGCAATTTAATCTGTTGGATATTCCCAAGGAAATCTGAATTTGATATTATTACCGTTCGTTAACAGGAACTCTTCCAAAGATCGTCCGAGTAAGCAACGAAGCGGGATCAAGCCTGGAACGCCTATAGTCAAGATGGTGAAACAATATATACAGTACATGGAAGCTCAAGCACATCAACAACAACCTTCTTGAAGTCTTGAATCTGAAGACGCATTTCAAGGTGACTTAATCATCCTTCACTGGAACTATCAGGTGTCTGATGGTGAATTTGTTTTTGATTCAGTTCCAACCTGGATCGGGTATCAAGATTAGGTTTGCTTATTGCCTTTCAAACGTCAGTGTTAGCGTTTGTTTTTTTAACCTGACTCGGTTTGAAGTACGCACTGACAATAAGATCGGGTCCGCACGGGTTGGAACTGGTTCCAACCTGGATAATAAACAAATTCGCTATGAATCAATTCCTGTAGGAGGGCGTACCCAATCTAGTACGGAGAACGAATTTCCGGTAATTCATGGAACTACTGCTCTGTGTAGGCCATATCGATCAAAAAGCCAATAGTCTCCTCCCTTCCCCTTAGTTTTGGTTTCCCCTATGACGTGCAACTGTCTGCCTTGTTTCCAGATGGCTCAAACATCTCAAAAACTTGCGAGACCCTATTGGCCGTTATTCATTAGTACAGTACTTGTTCGCTAACTGGGCTAAAAGCGTAGCCCAGTTAGCGAATTCCACATGTCAAAAAACACTGAGGGGAGCTTCAATGGATTGTTTGATCAACGTTAAAAACACTCTTGTGCATTGAATTGATACAGTGTAAAGTTTGTTATCGTTATTTTCACAGCATTCAATCTCACTAGTTTAGAAAGCTTCAATGCTTTTGCTCATAACGCTTCAGTGTGAAATGAAAGTGATTTCAAATTTAATTACGTTATCACTTAATATTCCATTCGAATGCCTCGAATGCCTTAATGCAATTATTACAACTAAATGTGACGTCTATTTTTGACGTATAACTGCGTTTTAACTGGGCTACAGCCCAGTTAAAGATCGCCCAGTTAGCGAACAAGTACTGTAGTTTGTTTATTTGGTTCTACATCAACAGACTGGGTTTAGTTCTAATGATGGAGTAAGAAATACTAGGAAATACAATATAGTTAAGAAGTAACAAGCTGCAAAGGCCGTGAAGTCCATTTTAATTCCTAATTCTTAAAAATATATCACGGAATATCTGACGCAGCGTCTCGCGTGCCAAGTGAAAATCAAATAAGGAAGCAACACGATTGAAAACCCTTTGTAGCCCATTGATAGCACCATACGAACTATAGTTTGTACGACGAAAAGGTAGCCTCAGCATTGCGTTGTTACGGAGTGCTCGTGGTTGAACGTTAACGTCGATTGGTTGTAGAATAGAAGGACAATGGGTTCTGCCCTGTAGAATGTCTGCCACAAACAGGGCCTTTGTCGTATTTCTTCGACTCCACAAAGGATCCAGGTGAATTAACTGGCACCGACTTTCGTAGCTTGGAAGACGATGAGGATCCCTCCAAGACAAACGTCGAAGGGCAAACCAGATGAATCGTCGTTCAATAGACTCTCTTTGTACACTGTTTTAGTAATTGGGATTCCATGCAGGGCAGCAGTATTCTAACACCGACCGGACGAGGGAGCAGTAAAGCGACTTCAAACAGTAGATGTCCGTGAAATATTTAGCTATCCTGAAAATGAAGCCGAGCGTTCTGGATGCCTTGTCGATCACGACAAGGACGAGATATGCTGGCTGTATGTGAGTTGACAACTGACGATCAGATAGATAGGATGCGAACCATCGTAGGAGACTGCCGTTTATACTGAGCCTATCAAGTTTGGCGATCGCTATAGGCGGCTGATAGGTCAGTGTAGATGACACCTGTTTGCATATGGTCTGTCATACTCTCCGTAATGTACGAGGTGAGACACAGAAGGTTGGAAGTAGTCGACCGCCCTGCCATGAAACCATGCTGGTCGGTCTTCGCTCAAGTGCTGCTTGAAGTGAGAGACTAATGGTTCTATAACGACCAACTCGAATAGTTTTGATATGGCACACAACGATGTGATGCCGCGATAGTTGTCGATGTTTCTTTTGCATACCTTCTTATGCACTGGAAACATCTCAGCTGATTTCCAGCAGGAAGGAAATACCCCACTGGAGAGGGACATTTCGAACAGAAGGCAGCGAGGAGCCACCAGGCTATCGATGTGTTGCTTGAAAAAGACGGAAGGAACTCCGTCAGGTCCAGGCTTAAATGAAGACTTCAGTTGCGAAACCGCCCTAGTTATCATAGTGAGGTAGATGTTGATAGCTGCCAAAAATTTACCAGACATTGGAACATTACTGGCTGCTAGAGAAACGTGCTCGTCAGGTAGGTTCTCATCCGAGAATACACTCGCTAACTTGGTTGAGAACAGACGGCAAATGTCCTGAGGGGATGAAGCTTCTTCGCCGTTCAGTACCATAGTCGATGGAAGGCCAGACTCATTTCGTTGCTCATTAACATAATTCCAAAAAGTTTTCGGGTGTGATCGAAGCTTCCGTTGAACATCTCATTGATAACGCCGATAACATTGGCGACTGGTTCGTTGAAACGCATGATTGATCCTCGCATAATGGTCCTTGAGTTGTAGGGTGTGGTACTTGGTGTATTTTCTTAGCGCGGCTCTTTTGGAAGACTTTAACATACGGAGTTCACTTGTTTGCCAAGGACTATGATAACCATGTTTAGGAACTTTTTTTCGGAACGTGACGCTCAATGACGTAAGCCAAAATATGCGAGAGCGTTTGGGCAGCTGCATTGACATCGGCAGGGACGAGTATCCTGTGCCAGTCCAAATTCGAAAGAAGTTCCCCGATACTGTCGTGGTCAGCATTTCTGAAATCGTAGTAGACCTCTAGGGGGGATGGAATGACCTCAGGAATTTGGTTGCCTTCAAGTGCAATAGCTAAAGGAGGATTGTGTGGAACAGTCTTTATCAACGGAGAAACAGCCATAGACAAATGCGGAGCAGTATCCTGAGCGGTGACGAAGCAAAGGTCTAAGCTACGATTGTTCTCATTAACCACGTGGTTGATTTGCTTCAGAGTGGCGATACTGATCCAAAAGGCTTACAGCTCCAGTGTGAAATGTAGAACGGTCGTGGTCCGGATACAGGAGTCCACCGTAAAATGATCGCCAAGAAATTGCCAGTAGATTGAAGTCACCAATGATTATCATCTCGTCAGCAGCTGTAGTGATCTCCATTATAGCTCGAATAGACTGATTGTGGGATTCAATTAGCGTAGAGTCGCGAGTTCGATCCGGAGGAAAGTAAACTACACACAAAAACAAAGTGCGGTCAGCGAGCTTAATGGCAATCCAAACTTGTTCCACAAAGTTCCATAGAGATTAGTGACGTTTAACGGACGCACACTAGCGGGGCAACGCCGTGTAAAGTTGTTTATTATTTTCCTCTGGCTAACCTAAAAAATGTATGACAGTAGATCTGTCAAAATGAGTTTGACATCGATTTGTTATGTATTTTCCTCGGATATTCACTAACACGCTCTTACATATCGCACCAATACAACCGGACGTGAAAATCTCTATGGATCGTTTTCGAGAACTTTTGCCTTCAATCCAGAGTCGACCGGACGAAGTTACGAATGTAGGTCATTTGGCCGAAAGTCGTTTGGCATAAAGTTTGCGGGATGCAAGTGATGATATGCATAACAGCCTGGAATTTGTCGCCGTTGACAGAGCTGTGCGCAGGAGAGAAAAAGGACGGTGTGAAGGAGGAGAAAGAAAAGAGAGATCATTCTTAAAACTTCTTTTGTCATTCGTACAACCACGTGTAATTAGCCAAGAATAAAAATGTTTAATATTTTCCGTAATAAACGTATTCGATCGTTTATTAATCGGTTCTAATCACCACAAGTTGTTTGGCATAATCCATAAAATTTTAAATGAAAAACATAGACAAAATTTTCATTCTTTTAAACATGCACAGTTGTTTCGAATTTTAAGGTTCTTGATTTTCATTTTCATTTTCATTTTGCAGCGTTTGGTGGGGCAATGGGAGCGCAAGTCAATCCAAAGCCGAGGATAAAGGAAGGGTAATGGCTGAATAGTCTATGCGGACCACTTGAACGCCATGGGAAAAGGAAGGGATCGAAGAGGTCGGTTATTGGGGGGGTTTGAGGAAATGACACATAGTACTAGAATGTGTTGTAAAATGTAAAGAAACCGAAAATCCATCTCCCACTGATTCATCCTTTCACATACATACCAAATTGATATTTTAAAGCAATCATCAAAATAAACAGACAATATATGAAAAGGCTAGTTGCCTACCTAAGCGGACCCCCCGCATCCTAACTAATTTTTAAATTATATAGGGTATATGCTCCAACTACGCTCACACGTTTCCACTATGTCGTCCCGTATGGGTATGTCACAATAGAAGCACGCCA